ATATCAGCCATGACATCAACAGCATCTGCACCACCAACACCAATAGCCATCATACCCAATCCACCAGAATTTGGGGTATGAAAATCTGTACCAATCATAAGGCCACCAGGAAAAGCATAATTTTCTAAAATAATTTGATGGATGATACCAGAACCAGGCTTCCAAACCCCAATATCATATTTTGCACTAACAGAAGACAAAAATTCATAAACTTCAGCATTGGTTGATATTGCTCTTTCCAGATCTTTGACACCACCTGTTTGAGCCTCAATTAAATGGTCACAATGAACCGTTGTTGGAACAGCTACTTCTGGAATACCAGCAGAAATAAATTAAGCAGAGCCATTTGTGCAGTAGCATCTTGGCATGCAACACGATCAGGACGTAATTTAAGGTAACTTTGTCCTCTAATAATTTCTTGGTTGTGAGGATCATCCAAATGACCATAAAGAACTTTTTCAGAAAGTGTTAGTAGTCGGTTAAGTCTGCAATTCAAAAAAACATCATCACCACCATCATCATCATCATCAAAATTAATTAAAAAGGTTAATTAATAATCATTAACTTTTTTTTCACAATGGCTAAATGATCTTGTATTCTTTGATAATTGATATATTTATTAGGCTCAAAATTTGAAAATTTGAACCTTTTTATTACTAATTTCACCAGAGATAACTTGAGCAAAGTTATGACATTGAAATTTGCTTGATGAAGATAATATCTAGCTTGTAAAAAAAAATCCAATAATAATTTCTCAATTAATATAAATTATATATTTTAAATAATTGACGGATGATCATTATTTAAAAAAAAATCGCGTATAAAATTTCATGTCGATCATCATAAACCATTTCATTTTCAAACCAGCACCAATTTTTCCAACGTAATTATATACTTCTACTACAATTTTTTTTATTTATTAAACAAAGGCTTCAACTTTAACTCTCCATTTAGATCCAAATTGCCACAATGCTTGCAAGTGAATGCTAGTATTAATTTCAATTAATTTTCTGTGGTTCAATTTTCCAGATGTATTTTATCATTATCTAACTTATTCGCAGTGTGTTGTTTCTAGCTTCCGATCTGCTTGATATAATTCAAGTTTGATACCAAAAGAACTTGAGAACTTTTAGGTGATGAAGGTAATCTGTTAGGACGAATATAAATACCTTTTTGAACACTTTCTTCTACCACTCTATAAAAAATAACAGTGAGAATATTTATGTATATATGAATAATTTTTTACACAATTGGGTGAATAAATTTTTATTTTTAATCTTATTAATAAAATTTCTAGACAAAAGTCGGGCGCATTTTCAAACAAAAATTGCGCGAAAACACCAAAATTGACTATTTTTTTCATCAAAAAAAATGATTGTTGAAAAATGCACATAATAATCATGCCCAAAAATTTAAAATTCGATAAACAAAGTAAATAACAATATTAATATCTTGTTGGCCATCCATTATTTTCAATGACTGCTTCAACTCTCCCTCAATCAATTTAATTAGGACATCATTTGTTATCAATGTAATTTTGAATAGTACGAGTCACTGTTTTCCTATGAACACCAACAATTTTAGTTATTTTGTGGTTTGGTACATTATTTTTATATAGACCGGTGATTTCACCACGTTGACTTTCACTTAGGGGTGACATTTTGAGTTTAAAATTTTCCAAAGGAATTGTTCAAAAATTTATTAAAAATGATGTTTGTTTACAAAAAAATTCAAAACAACATAGATACTTATTTAAGACGTTTGTTATCACATGCCAAAAATTCTTCGAGCTTGGTTATTAAATAAGATTTTGTTCAATTAAATTTTTTTTTATCAGAAAAATTTTTGGTCGGATTTTTTCTTAGGCATATAAAAGTTTTAAATTTTGCATGCAAAATTTTGAGAACCTAAGCTATAAAATGATATAAGTTATTTGTGTTTTTATTGTGTGCGTTTTTGCGCAATTTTTGTTTAAAATGCGCCAGACTTTTGTCTAGTGGTAAAAAAATTAAGGGTAGAAGATCTACATACACATGTAAAACTCGACAAGTCGAGTACAATTGATTGCTGCGTCCGACTTATCGAGTTTTACATGTTAGTACAAATTTTGAATATGAAAATTTGGCCATTGATAAAGAAAGGCTTGTATTATTAACAAAGTTCAAATTCTTAGCGAAGGTATAATTAAGTTAGCGAATGTATAAGTTAAACTTATGAAAGTTCATTTTGAACAATATAACTTTCATAAAACACAGATATTTATTTTAAGTCACAAATGCCTGATATTAACTTATTAATAACTATATTACATGTTTATGATCTATGAAATGAGATTAAATTAATTCTTTATTTTTTATTTTATAGAATAAAATGATCAAATGACTTATGCATGACCAGCCATCAAAAGTCATTGTCGCCTGCCAACACTGGATTGATTGGTTTATGTTTTATAAAATTGTTAGAATTAGATTTTTTTTTTAAATAAATAAATGAATGAACGAATAGTAAAATAACTATATTTACAATCTAATGAAAAAAATAGATTCAATGGTTATAATAATTAAATAACGATGTTTAATTTTGTGTTAATTCATCTTTGCTTGGTTGAAAATGAAAATTCCAACTATCCAACCACATTCTTCTATAAACTTGCCAACCATCTAATTCTGTGCCGTAAGTCAGTGGTGAGAAATATATAAAAGTTGAAATTATACATATTATAATAATCGACCAAATAATTATTGATGATTTGGTAATTGATGAATTTGTTGTTATTATTTTTTGTTTAAAATATTTATTATTCTTGTTCTTATTATCATTAATACTTTGATTATTCTTGGTCAATTCATCATCCATTATTAATGGCAGTGATGATGATAATGATAACGATAGTGACGATGATGATTGTTGTTGAAATTCTACTAATCCTTCTTCTTCTTCTGATAATTGATGATGATGACACGAAGAGCTTTTATTTATAAAAGAAATTGGATAATTTATAGAATTTACGAATATTAAATTAAATGTTGTAGCCGTTATTATGTGACTGCATATTAATGCAGGTATATAATGGTGTAAAAATAGTGATCTGCCCATTAAGAAAAATGGTATATAATGAAATAAATATCCTAACAAAAAAAAGCCACCAGAATTAACCAATCTATGCCAAACAACTAAAAATTCATTTAAAAATATTATTATTGTTGTTGTTGTTGTTATTACCAATGAATGAATAATAAATAAATATGTTTTTTAAAATACTTACAATCGTTAAACAGTTTGACACCACGTCTTCTAATAATTGTTTCTACACTAATCAATAATATCAAGGTGAAAATAGAAATAACAGAAAGTAGCCAACTGATTGGATTACCCAATAAATAAATTTGTTGCCTTTCTTCCTTATTTGTCCAGAATGATATACCACTTGTTAAAAATAACCAATCGATTGGCCGGCTTTGATAAGGATGGGGTGATACAATTCTGGAATTGCGCTCGATCATTAACAGTTGTAATTCAAAAAATTTCCTTATAAATGACATACTGTGTATTGGTTTTTTTGTTTCTAATGACCTTGTTACTAGTTATAATTACAAAAAAAGGTTGTTTATTATTATTATTCAAAATGTGATTAACCATTAATTTGTTTGTTAATAGGAATAATAATAAATACCATTTGCACGAATTATTTCATTTGCTATCCAAATGTTAGAATCTTTAGTAATCTGTTTATTTCCATTAACTTCTTGTTGACTAAATGCCCATTCTGGTAATTTAGCATCATGTGTCCATATTGCAACATTAGTTTTCCAATGTATCAATTTTATATAACTTGATTTAGTTTTCCAATTATCATCATTTTCAATAAAAACTTGAAATATAGTATCATTTATTCTATCATAATTTTCAGTGATGTTTATAGTTGTGACTTCTTGATTTGTAATCATTAACGGACTTGCCACGTCATGAGTTAGCAGCAGTGTATTGGTGTTTACATGTTCTAACATAATGAAATCTTTATGTTTAATCAAACCATTTTCGGGTCTTTGTTGTAGAGGTATTGATGATGGTGGTGAAATTATTCTCCAATGATTATTGGCGTCTTGAAAACGATAACCAGTTACTTGTTGTCCTGCGCTGCCTATACGTTCATCATCATAAACTCTTGGATATCTTTGAGTATGTGAATGTAAATATACTTTTGTACCTTTATGTTTTAAAGTAATTGTATCATTGTAGTTGATTGATTCACTTTCAAGTAGCAAGGAATTATTATATAAAGTTTGTTGAAACTCTGGACTCATATATGTATCACCTGGTCCACTGGTATTTAATATTGCAAAATGAATATAAAACCAAAATAAATAAACAATTATAGGAACAATTATTAATCCAAATGCGCGCCCTAAAAAATGCTTATTAAATTGTTCCTTTTTTTAAAAAAATTAAAAATGAAAAAAAAAATTATTATTATTATCATTAAAAATATATGTTTTATTTTCAATAAATCATTCCTTACTAATGTTAATCCACGCCTTATATCTGATAATTCCCATAAATCAATAATCACCACTGTACCAATCATAAGTATTGTGAATAAACCAACCATCTTTACACTAAAATAAATATATACGCGTTTTGAGTTAATTATATTTAAATCAAATTTAAATTTTTTGATGTATATATCGTTATATGAAGGTCATTATAAAAATTACCTTAATGTTAATCCAAGTGAAATTCCAGTCATTATTAACCAAAACCACCATTCATTACAAAATTCTCTAATAAAATAAATTCTTATTTAAATAAAATAAAAAAACCAATTAAAGGTAATAATAGCTTTCCATTTACCTAAATCGATATTTATAGAATTTTATATAAGAATAAATTGTACATAGCATGAAAAATGCTAGCATCGAATCAAGTAGAATTAAACGTGTTTGACAAACTAGCAAATTATCTATACAGAAAACATAAATTAATAAATATCCATATATACATTATAATTCAACATCGTCTTTGTCGGTCAAGTCTTTTTTTAACTTTAAGCTTGCTTGTTGAGCAGCTTCAATTTCTAGCTCATATTTGGCTTTTAAATTGGCTTGGCTTTCACTAATTTGAGCCGGGGTTATGTATAGATGACAACTCTTACCGAAAATGATTAATATAGCAGCTAGGATTGCTGTAAAAATACTATAACCAGATTCCATCATTATCAAATAAACTAAAGGTACATAAAGGGCTCCAAGTGTAGCAGGTAATGATCTTAATCCAATATAAGGTACGTCATTTTTTAAATAATCGTCACCAATATGTTCAAATAAAAAATGCCCATCATAATTAAGCAACCAACCCATTCCAGCGATCATTAATTTTCCAAGAGGTGGATGAACATCAAAATAATAAGTTCTACGGAGATAATAGCTAGCAAATTTACCAAAATGAACTTCATCAAATCTAAACAGTTTTTTTTTTTAAAAAAAATTAATTGATAATTGATTTGGATTTGAATTTGATTAGGCAATTTATTGAATCTGATTTATAACTTACACAACTTGATTTGGATGATAAATTTTATAAAATCTTGTAATGAATGATAATATTGTAAGTATTGATAATGTTGTTAATGATATAATTTTTGAATTTTTATAGTTTTTTATATTTGTTATTATGTTCTAAATAAATAAACATGTTATATGTTAAAATTTCAAGCTGATAATTGTCAGAGCATTGTTCTTGAAATTTATTATTTACTTTATTTTTATTATCTGGTTTTATATCATCAAACACGTCAATAATTTCTTCATGTTTCTCCTCACAAACATTGATTATTGGCCGTTTACGAATTGTGGTTATATCGGAAGACATTTTTGATTTTTTAAAATTAAAAAATGTACGCATGCATGAACAGATGTAACATTCCTGAAATTGAATTTATAGGAAAAATTTTGATTGGTTAATTTGGTTAAAACAATGATTTTTAAAGATTTTACACTTGAAATAAAAGTTAAATATAAAAAAAAGCATGTCAGCTCCAACTCCTGTATCATACTCTGATATTGGTAAGGCCGCTTCAGATTTGTTTAGCAAAGATTTTCCACTTGATTTAAAGCTTGAAGTAAAAAATCTTGCTTCGAATAATGTTGTATGTATGCTATACATTATTATTATTTAATTTTTTTATTTTTTATATTGATTTTATTCTAATTATTGTTCTTATTATCATTGTTATTAGACTTTTACACTTTCTGGTACAAAAAAAACTAAAGACCAAACAACTTATGGTGAATTAAAAACTAAATATGTTTATCCAAAACGAGGAGTCACCCTTACTCAAACATGGACGACAACAAATAATTTGATAGCGCAAATTGAGCTTGACAATAGTCTTTCCAAAGGTTTAAAGCTTGATTTACAATCAAGTCTTCAACCTTCATCTGGAGATAAAAATATTAAAGGTGGTTTGATATTCAAACAACCGGGTTTACACTCAAAAGCATATTTTGATATGGACAAAGGTCCTATTTTTCAAGCTGATACTGTGATCGGGAAAGAAGGATTTTTAGTTGGTGGTGATGCCTCATATGATGTGGCAGATGGTAAAATTTCACGTTATGGTATAGCTGCTGGATATGTCGCACCTGATTATAGTATCACTCTCCGTGCAACGAATTTATTGTCTACTTATACACTTTTGTATTTTCATCGTGTACAATCTGATATCGAGGCTGGTGCCAAAGCCGTATTGGATGATAGCGGTGTCAAAATGGAACTCGGCACAAGATACATTTTGGATAAACATTCTTTTGTAAAGGTAATTAAATTAATGATATATGTTTATATAAAGAATTATTTATCTATATATAATACATTTTAATATTATTTAGGCTAAAATTGATAATTCTGGTTGTCTGGGTCTTGGATACACACAAGAACTTAGACCAGGTATCAAATTATCTTTGGGTGGTCATATTGACGCAACTCGTTTGAGCGAGGATGTACATCGATTCGGGTTCTCCCTTAATTTTGAATCTTAAATATTTTTGATTTTGTATTTGTAGCAATTTATTATGATAATCTATAATGATATATAAATAATGATGATGATATTAATTATATTAATTTCAATAATATTTATATATAATCTTATTGCATTAATTATTTTTAGATTTAGTATTAATTTTTAATGCCGATTTGTTGTTTTTATTAAAGAATTCAGTTTTGAAAATCTCTTTTAGTTATTATGTTGTTTGAAGATTATTATGGATTGTCGACAGCTTCATCTGTAAGACAAGCTAAAGCGCGAACATTAGCAGCAGCGGCATCTCCTTCTACCATCACTACTACAAAAGGTGAAATAGAATCTATTGGATAAATAATTGATTTTATTTAGTATTAGTACTAGTACTAGTCGTGTTATAACGGATTTTATTTAATACGTATTTAATTAGGCTATAATAAGGTTTGACTGTAAATATGATAATTGCATATTGGACAAGGTTAATCCATCTTCGTAAAAAATGGAGAGGTAAGACTAATTACTAAGCCAAGACTTCTCTCTATTACTATGATTTCAATTTTTGATATGCTGATCCTTCCTCACGTGAAAGTTTCAGCAATAGAAGACCATATCAATAATAACATTTCCATTTATTATATATCATTCTTTATTTTTACTTGTGCGAGATATAATATATTACTGATTATGGCTATGATTTATTTAAATATTGAAGATATTCTATATAAATATGTCTATCTATAATGTGTTGCAAAAAAAATTTATTTATAGTAATTGGATGAAATGGATAAAAAAATATACTAAAAGAAAGCTGAAAACTAGAGGTTCCTATTGATATAAATTTATATAAATTAATTTTTAATTGCTTTCAATATTAAAGTTAATTTTTGTTCCATTAAAAATTCAATTATAAAGATTAATGAATTCATTCCTCACTAGTCCACCAAAAATCACTCTAATTTCAGGATTTTTTTGGTGTTAATTACTTTATGTCCTGCTTAACAAACTTTTAAAAATTTTGGTGTTTTAATAAATAGCATTGTTGAATAATCATCTCATTACTAACAGGTCATCTTTAAGCTTAACTGACTTTCAAAAATTATATTTAAAATCAAAATAACTTCTTAATCTTTGTAATAGGCTTCTGAATGATTCTTATATAGAAAGATGTGACAATTACTGTTGGAAATATCCTTTCCCCCAATTGCACCAAAAATTTTCCAATTTTTTTTGTAACACACTATATATATATAAATATGTCTATATATCAGTACCAGACACCCTTCTTCCTTTGACAAATACAGCTTTAAGATTTCGTTCATCACCAAGAAATATAAATTTTTCAAAAATTCTTTCTAAAGCATCATCGATATTATCAAATATATCAAGTGGCGAATTCTTTGCTTCTGGATCAACCCATAACGCATCAAACTCCTTACCAATTATAAAATTACCAATAACGTTTTGAAGATTTACCAATTCTGCACCACCCATTGTTGCCAAATATGTTAACTCTGAAAGTGTCAAGCTTGAATACGCACTGATACTATTATCATTATCATCATATTCTTCGTCTTCTTTTTCTGATGACGCCATATGAATAACACGACTTGCTGTACTTGCACTTCTTATAGCATCTAACATAGATTTTGCATGGCCTCCACTAATATCTGTGCCCAAACCAACTTTAATACCATCATTCAACAATTGTCTAACATTGCACACTCCGGATCGAAGAGCAAAATTTGAATTTGGACAATGTGATATGCCAACTTTACGTTGTCTAAGTAGTTTTCTCTCTTCCGATGATAAATGAATACCATGGGCCATTATTGCTTGATGATTCAATAGTCCATAATGATCATAAACTGCCGTATAATTCTTGATATGAGGAAATAACTTCTTGACAAATTCTAACTCTGCAGTATTTTCTGAAAGGTGTGATTGAATTGGTATATCATATTTTTTTGCCAGAGTACCAATGGAATCTAATAATTGAGAAGAACAACTAATAGCAAATCGGGGAGTTAGTATTGGAGCCACGAGACATGTTTTTTTGTCTTTATTATCAATATCAATATTAAGATTATTATTATTATTATTATTATTATTATTATTACTATTATAACTATTAATACTGCTACTAATATTATCATCATTATTATTAATATTATTATTAAGACTTAAAACATATTCTACAAAATGCTCTGTATCTTTAATACTAGATTCAACATTTTCTTCAATATAATCAATTGGACTATTACGATCCATATTAATTTTACCAACAAACGCTCGTTGACCTTTCTGATTAATCACATCCACCAGATATTTACTAGCTTCCAAATGAATGGTTGCATAATAAACAGCTGTTGTAGTGCCATTACGTAACAAATGACTTACTACAATTGGATAGATTTTTTTGGTAAAGTCCATTGACGAATAGGATTTTTCAAGTGGGAAAGTGTACTTTTTCAACCATTCAAGTAATGGAAGATCCATTCCAGTACCAGCGTTAGGATATTGTGGAGCATGCTGTTTTTTTTAGAGAAATTAAAAATAAAATAGTAATTATAATAATAGTATAATAATATATTGATGGATAAATACTGTATGAGTGTCCACAAATCCAGGCATTAAAAATTGCTTTTTTGTTAAACGTATAACCTTTTAAATTTAAATATATAAATATGTTGATATGCTATATAGAATTAATTAATATTTCTTTTTTTAAAAGGACTTGCCTTTTCTTTTGAAGCATTCCATTTGTCTAAAAGATTGGAAAGAATTTGTTCGTCAACAACATTTTTTTCAATAAAAGCAATTTTTCCTAGAGTATCAACACCTAATAGAGCATCCTGTATGATTTCTAAGTTGGAAAGAGATAATGAATGTATCAAAGTACCGTAAAACACTAGAGAAATTTTTGTGTACATTTAAAATCAAAAATAGAAAATTTTAACTAACACTATTTTTATATTATTATCGTTCGACGATCATTCTGATGTAATGAAAAATGAGAGTATTTAAAATTCTTTCTATATAGAAAAATTGGGGTTTTTTATTTTTTATTTTTTTTTAAAAAAAACTTAAAAATCATGAACGATATCGTTCTTCATTTTTCAGGTATCGGTGGCCTTATTATTGTAAGTAATTTTTTTTCATTTCTCTTTATCTCGATTTATTTAAAAATAAAATTGAACACTTTCTTTTATTGTTTAGCTTATATTAGACCTTATTGCAGTTTTTGAAGTTCTTAATAGTAATCGTGATATTCTCAATAAATTCATTTGGATCTTGTCGATTTTATTATTCCCAATCTTTGGACTAATTATTTACTTGTAAGTTTAACCAGCTATTTGATAATAACATATAGGGTGTATAAATTCATAATAATATTTTGATATAAATTGTTTAGATTATTTTCTAATCGTCGAGATCATGAGTTAGATTATTTTTCGATTCCTTGAAAATATGCGAGAACTGAAATTTAAAAAACATAAATTTTTTACAATTATTATCCTTTAACATTACGACAAAAGAAAATCATAATGTTAATAACAATATTGTTTTTTGAATAAACCAAGCTTTTATTATTATTTTTAAAAAAATAAATTCTTTGGTGAGAATTGCCAAATCTCAAGGCCTAAACATTTTGTGATAAAATGATCATCCTACCTTATTTAAAGAAAAAATATTTACATTAACATTCATGTATAATTACAGTAAAACAATAATGTGATACTAAATCAAAAATAAATACAAGTACCTTTCCCAGTTAATTGTTTTTGGACTCGTTTTAGGAAGTAATGGTTGGTTCTGGTTAAGACTCAAAGCTAGATGTTGGACAACCATCTACATATGTACGTAATGAGGGCAATCTTTACGTTAAGGGTAGACTCTATGCGTACACTCAACATGTTTTCAATGATTTCAGAAACGGTCAACACATCAATAATTTTTTCCCTTTAGAGCAAAACACCAAAGTCCAACAGGAGAAATGGTCGGAATGGCAATTAAAGCTCCCTATTATTACTATTGGTTGGTGTATTTAGGCAGCTTCATTTGCTGATCATTGACAGAATTGAAGAATACAATTCTCCAGGCTTCTTGATGACACCACAATCTGAGAATAGTTGCTTGCATCCAGAGGTTGATTTGACGCAAAACTTACATATCTCTCATAAAACTTACAATTTCTCTTACAATTGTCTATCGTCTTCATAATAATGTCATCAAATAAAATTTTCGCGCTTGTAAAGCTGATTGTACTCAATATATATTTTTTCCCGAGTCTGTTGTAGCAAGCTCTCTCGCCATGACTACATCAAGGGTTGTAACCACTTAATCGAATTTTTCAGAGCCATATTCATTAAAGTAAATACCGAGATTGTTTATGATTGACTTAACATGCTTTTATCAGGAACTTTCAAAATCTCATCTATGCATAAAAAAGTATAAGTCTTTCACTAGAGTGATGGTAAATAGTGTCAAATGAGGGAAATCTAAAAAAATTTTTTTTTGGAACTTTCTCAAAAAGTAATCCATGTTAGTTCTTCCAAATCAAATAAATAGCTCCATAAGATGCGCAAAGCTAATTCTTGTGGTGATACTTCCTTCCAAGTATTCCACATATGAAGCATTTCCGCTGTACGTAACACTAATACTAATACTAATGGTCTCGATTTCATGTATAATTACGCAAAATTTTTTATAGCTATAAATTTCACATTTTTAGTTTTCACGTGTATTTTTTATTTTTTAAAAAAAACGAACTTCAATTAAATTTACAATGATCAACCTGAATATTTAGACTGAAGCTGAGCGAGGAAATTTTTTAGGTCTTAGAGGTGGTAACGCTAGAATATTTTTGGTAAAAACATTCGATGTTATAAGAATGCAGTAAGTTTGAAAAGACACGAAATTTATCCCAAAATGTTTGAGAATTGGAACTTCTTTGAAAGAGAAATGCTCTAAAGTTCCTCAAACAATTTATCACAAATTATTGAAAGCATGCCAAGGAGAATAGTGAGGAATGCATTGTCAATAACGGGTAGCCAACAGAGTATTAATTTATTGGTTGTACTATTTTAAAATTTAAAAATATTCGTCAAAGCTAAAAACATAAACATTTTATTGGCATGTTCTTAAAAACCTAAGTTACTAAATGACATTATTAAAAAAAAATATGCGCAAAGATTTATTTATTTATTTTATTTTACGAATTTAATATAACCTGATTTTTAAATCTAATCAAGCACAATAATATGTGAAGAAAACAATTTTTAATAAATCTTTTTTAACATCTTATTTATCATATTTATATTTATATATACTGTATGTATGTATAATTAATGAGATGTTTCAAGATGTTTCTTATATGCTACTTCATCCAATAATTCTTTTAATTCTGATGAATCGGAGAGTTTGATTTTACATAACCAACCTAAATAAAATAAAAAAATAAAGATAATCAATTAAATTATCTCCCGTAATAATAATAATAATAATAATAATAATAATAATAATAATAATGATAATAATAATAATAACAATAACCTTCTGATTCAGCACTATTGTTAATTAAAACAGGTTCAGTTAGTAATTTTTCATTAGATTCAACAACTTTACCACTAATAGGAGCATAGATATCACTGGCAGCTTTAACACTTTCAACTGAGCCTAGAACGTCTACATATACAAATATTTATGTTTATAGAAAATTATTTAATCAACAAGAAAAAGAAAAAGAAAAAGAAAAAGAAATTTTACCTGATTTCTTAACTTCAAGTCCAATCTCAGGCAATGCAACATAAACTACATCACCAAGAGAATTTTGTGCATAATCTGTAATACCTATAATTCCAACTGAGCCTTCATCATCTTTAATTTCTATCCATTCGTGTTCTTTGGTATATTTTTTTGCTAAATTTTTTTTTTTAGTCCAATTCACATAAATAAATAAAAAAGACAATAACAACAATGACATTATGCTACATACTACTATATCCACGAGATAAAAATGCAATGCTATTAATTCTAAAAGTTGGAATAGTCGATGATATTATTTTAGATGATATATTTCGAAGAAACATGATAGATAATTACGAAAAATGTTAAAATTTTTTTTTGATAATTTTCAATAGATCTACCTATATACAAGTTTATTCAGGGCCCGGCTGGATCAGCCAACAATGTCTATCAAATCTGACCGTGCCACACATACGAATTTGCATGTAACGTCTATCTATATATATTTGGTTAGGACTCACCTGTATTAATTTGTTGAAGAAAATTTACTTTATTTAATAACACAATCACCAACACCACTATAAAATGGCACTTTTCCAATGCAACTATTATGCAAATCCATATATTCTAGAAGATTCATATGTCACTGGATATATTTTATTATTTTATGATTATTGAACAGTGGATTTCTGGTAATAGATGTTACAGTTATGTAATTTCTCCTATATTTACTAAGTAATTTAATTATATATATAGACTAAAAATTTTCCTTTTCCTTTCCTTTTCCCACTACACACAGCATACCATACATTATTAGATTTAGCAATGTTTAACAGAATAATTTGAATAAAATTTTAATAAGAAGCATCACTTATTTCAGCTTTACAAAAATATGAAGCACTAACTGATTCATATTCATCAATAATATGGTAAATACATAGAATATTATTAAAAAAATAAAAAAAACATTAATATTTGCAGGATATTTTCTTTGTATTTAATTCATTTTATTGGGACGTTGCAAAAGATCGGAATTTATACTAATACATCCAAAACCATATATACCAAGTCTTAAATTAAGACAAAATTTAACATTTAAGGTCCAATAATATATTAATTGCAACAACTATAGATTTTTATTAAAATTTACCTTGACATTAAAATTATCATCACATTTACATGTAATATATCAATTGGAAGGCAGTGTTTCCTAATGGAAGTTTAGGAAGTTTTGAGATGTTTTAGATGTTTTTAGATTGGAAAATGCATGGGTTGAAAGATTAGAGAAATGAGGTTTATGGCCATTAGAATTCAGCAGATACAATTCGTATGATAGAAAGAAACAGTTTTGATGATGATATGATTATAGATTATTAATCTTTCTAATTATTTAATTCTTGTTGTTCTTGTTTGATATTTCTTCATTTTATTATTGTATTTACCACCATAATATATTATTTTAGTATACATGTATAAGTTTTTATATTGGTTTTGGACAAGTAATATCTTTGTATTCGAATGGGCAAATATTATTACAAAGGCATTCCTTCCTTTTGTAGTCCAAAGGAAGAGGTGTTAACACTAAAATAGATAAAGTTTTAAAAATGTCTTCCGTCTTAGTTTTCAATAAATTGGATTCAGTAAAAGGACCATTAACAATCTCCTGAGATTTGACCACACCAAGATTAGATGCTTCAAAAAGGGAATGTCAATATTTCTGTATGCTTGGTAATTTCTTTATTGACATCAGCATAGTTTTAATATCAATATATGAGACAGACTGTAACAAAACCAGACAAAGTGAACATTATGTCACAAAATAATTCAGGGTTCAAAGTGTTGAAATTTGCCACTAATACTAATGATGTCTTATTATTATATCTTGCTGCCGCCTTTTCAAAATCTTCATCTTTTAAATTACTGACTGAAGTTTTGCGTTGGATCCTTGGAGATGTTTGTTGCATTTATGTTAAAATATTGTATTATGTTAATTACTCAAGAGAAGACGACACATTGAAAGTAATTAAGAAAAGAATTTTTAGAATAATAGATTTTGCCAAAGATGAAACAAAGAAAATAATTATATGATGTAAAGTAAAATCAGAAGGATGAATGGATGATAATATTAAATATTTAGAAGGAATTTGGAAAATTATTGAAACCATGCTACATAGTATAATGATTGATTAAGAGGAATTGAAAATTCCTCAAAAAGCATGAAATGGATTTTTTATCTTTGACACAGAGAATAAATTGAATGAATTAATAGAAAAAGAAATTTTCCAGAAGTCCAAGTTGCCGATTTAGAAAACGAAAAAGAAAATTTCCTAGATTTTAGTTAGAAAGCCCAGGAATGATGAGCAAAAGAAGAAGAAAAACCAAGACAAAAATAATAAGTTTGGAAAAGGAAATTGAAGGCGGAAAAAACCAATTCGATCATTAAAGGAACTAAATCACGTATTAAATCAAGCTAAGGGAAAAGCTTTTAATGTCTTACAAGAAACAACAAAAACGAATACAAAGGAAATACACAGAAACAAGCAATATCAAGAAATTAATAAGTATTTATTGAATTCGAGCCCAAGAAATAAATGAGAAAGGAAACCAATTAGCAAACAAGTAACTTTTTGTAAACCTTGTAAACTTGCGTTCCTATTTGACTGCGCCATATACACAAATTTGTTAATGTTAATATTAATTGGTTAACGATCGCCAACTGACGATCATTTAGATAATAAAATAAACCAATCATATTTAATCTTGCGCTGTATTAATCCAAACCCATATGGACTGATTAAATGTAACCTTTTTAGAAAGTGCCGTTACTATTTTTATTTTTACTATTTTGGGGTGCTATTCTTCGGGGGTGATAATTTTTTTAAAAAGATTAAAAACTTTCAATGGAATTCAAAGTTTTTAACAGCATCTTTTAAGTTATCGTAACAAATTCTTCTATTATAACATTCTAACTTGACTTTTTTTTTTAATTTGAAATACTTGCAAAAAAGGAATTTTTTTGAGTCTTTAAACTACTTGTATTACATGACAGAAATCGGCCCATTGGGAAGTTTTTGTTGATAAAATTGGCTGTCTAAGAGGTGTTACTGCATGACATTTACTAGTTAGTACTGGATGTATACTTGCATGTAAATCGCAGATTAAACACTACTTAACCCTTCCTTTTTTTTTTTAATTCAGCCTTCTAGTATCCTATTCGTGTTGATAAATTCATCATTCTTTACTGTCTTTTATATCTTATAATATTCCATTTCCCTTCCTAACATAATAATAACATTTTTTTAAAAATTTAAATTTTTATTTAACATCAAAAATTCAAACTATATCAAGTCATTTGCTTTTAGCTATATATTCAATTTACATCACAAAACAAACAAATATAAAAATGTCAAAAAAAAGTAAAAATATATTAAGAATAAGAAATAACTTTAAAAAAGTTGCTGTAGCTGACAACGAAGATAGAAATAAAGCAATTAATTTGGCCATAACAAATAAAAATATTATAGAACTTCGTAGATTAGCAATCACCGGTCCTGGTTTTATGAACGATGGTTTTCGTAGATTATGCTGGTATTTATATATAAAATTATCATAGAATTGATTATCAGATCATCAGATACCAATAATGCAAATATATTTTAGGCCATTACTTTTACACACCGAAAACTACAATGAGAACACTACTCGAGGTTTTAGTCGGGGGTTTTTTTTAATCATTTTATATAAATTTTTGATTTATTTCTCAAAAATTGTTTTTTTTTAAATTGCAGAAGTTCATAAGGACGAATATCAGGTACTACTCGATGTTCATCGATCATTTGTCCATTATCCTCAAGGTAACACAATTTTCACCATTACAATTTAATTAATTTACAAATACATTGAATTTTTAAATGAATTTTTAAACGAATAATTTTAGGTTTGAGTAATTCACAAAGAAAACAAAAACAACGTGAATTAAACGAAGTTATAGTAGGAATATTAAGAAGGCATCCTAAATTATCATATTACCAAGTTAGTATAAATAAATGTCTTGAATAATAAATGAATGGGACAATTAGTTTACTCTATTTTTGTACTTGTTATTTTTTATGTTATTAAGGGGTTCCATGATATCTGTTCAAGCTTACTTCTTGTGCTGGGCAAAGAAGGCGCTATCAAAGCAGGTGGACACATTGCAATGTTTTTATTAAGATATCCTTTACGTATACGTATATATGACATTTTACAATTGTGATTTATCCGCAAATGATTTAATTGATTCCTTGACAAATATTATTGTTGTTGTTGTTGTCAATACGGACGCGATGTTAGATTCTTTAGAACCAATATTGAAACAATTAAATCTTATATTTACACTGCTAAGACATGAAGATCCATTGGTTGCAGATCTTCTTTTACGGTATTTACATGAAAGAAAAAAATTATCTCTATCATTTTGAAATATGAAACTAGTTGGTTTATTAATTAATTAATATTTACAATACCATATCGTTATAAGATCAAATACATTACCATATTTTTGTCTTAGTTGGGTTATCACATGGTGTAGTCATGATTTAAGAGATTTTTCAAAGATTGCAAGACTATTTGATTTTTTTATAGCCTCACATCCTTTAATGATTATTTATTTATCTGCAAAGGTGACTATTAAATTTATTTCTTTTTATAATGATTTTTGTTTTGATTATTATTATCGTTATAATATTATCTAATGGAATCTTTTAATTTGAATTATAAAGGTCGTGTTAAGTCGTAAGAAAGAATTGTTGACCTTAGAACTTGATAGTGATGTAATTCATACATTCTTGTCAAAATTTCCACAAAACATCGATATTGATGATTTGATTTCAAAAACACACACCATGTATCAAAAATTCCCCCCAGAGAAATTACAAACATTGGCTAATTCGGGTTTAGACCAAACGTAAGTTAATAATATTCATGTTTATATGTATATACTTGTAAAATTATCGATTAATTTTATTTTCGACAATATTGTTTTATTAATATTTCATAGTTTTCATAAAGATCTTGCATAAATTTATATAACGAACACTGGCTAACATTAAAATCCGGAGAAAAAATCGACTATGCTGTTATAAATGAAATTTTATCAATGCCGCCCTCAGCAAGAAAACCAATAACACTTCCAAAAAATGACAGTCATTTCACTAAAAGAGTATTTATATCAGCATTTATTTTTACTGCTGCTATTTTACTAATTTGGTTGATAAGGTTAGCATTTATTATTTGAAAATTTATTAAACGTTTACGAATATATATATATGAATAATCAATAAAATATTTATATATATATAATATTTATTCTAGAAATAATAATAATAGTAATAATAATAATAATGAAGAACTATAAATAACACAATTAGCGAAGGTGTGATGGTGAAATAAATAATCAAAATCATAAAAAATCATAAATCCCTGGGCTCTTAAATAATCATTTTTTCCCGATTTTAATAGACTTTTTTTTTTGAATTGATGTAGATTATATATAAAATTAAAGATAGTATGTATAAAAATTAATTCAATTATAATAAATCTATTTGAATCACAAGTTCATGAATTATTATTATTACTTGATTGCAATCAATATTTATGCGACGCACAAAATAAATATTTATTAGTGATTAAAACTTATTAATAATATTAATAGAATAAAATTATAAATTATATATTTAAAATTTGATAATTTCAATTAATTATTAAAATACAAAATACAAATACAAAATCTAAATTCATAATCTAAAAAAAAATTTTTGCCCTTCCAAATTATTTTTTTTTAACGTAAATAAATAAAAAAAACATTGATTTAACATTATAAATAATAAAATTAAATAACCGAATCGCTAGATTCAATGGGTGACTGTGTAGAGTGTGATGATAATGATTGTTGTTCATTATGTTTAGAACTAGATTCCTTCAAAGCCAACAATTGTTTAGAACGGAATGACTCGTAGTGAATTTGGGCAGTAGTTTCAATAAGATCTTGAAGATGAGTTCTATATTCATTTATTTATTTTTATTAATTCTTTTTCTGATTATTAATCTTTAATTTAAAAATTATTTTGTAAAATCTCACCTTGTAAGGAAATCTCTAAGATGAACAAATTCACAATGATTTTCATCTTCGACTAATTGGAATAAATAAACAAAATAATGTTATCTAAAGTATATATACATATGTGTGTGTGCATGCGTGTATACTGATAAATTTAATATACCATTAATAACACCCCATCTATTTTTACGTCCATGAACAGATTTGCCATCAATTATAACATTTTTCTCGGAACCAACGACTGCAAATGGAATTGTTTGCTAAAATAAATGGGAAAAGTTTGTGAGAAAAAGGAATTTGCTTTTAATAAAATTATTTAATTATTAAACTTACCTTGATACGTTCATTGAGTGCTTTCTCATTAACATCAAGTTCATCACTGTCATATGGATACAATTTAATGTTATTGAAAGCCAATTCTGATTTTATCTATGATAAAATGATGATAATGATGATGATGATATTATTTATTTGTAAATATGATATTCAACAACGGCATAATTAATAAAATATGAAATAACGACATACTCTTTCTTTGAAAGCAACACGTTCCTCCATTGTAAGAGAATCCGACTTTGCAATAACAGGAACTACGTTCACAACTTCAGAAAGTTTTTTAAGTACCACAATATCAATTGGTTTAAGTCTGAGAGAGGAAGGATTGATTGATTATATGAGATTGATTTTCTTTTAATAAATAAAATAAAATGATATTATACATACGCATGACCAGTTGGTGCAATAAAGAACAAGCAACAGTGAATTCTGGTATCTTGAATGTATCTTTCGCGTGTAGCAGTAAGCTCTTTACGTAAGTAAGCACTGTGTTGATCTTTAACATATTTAATGATTGGTTCCCAACTAATAATTATTAAATAGTATCCATCAACAAAAGAATTCAAATGAATTAAATTTACAATATTCTAGAAAATTAAAAGATATTATTGGTCTTATTTATATATTTTTTTTTTTTACCAATTATCATTGTTGACTTGATCGCCATATCCGGGAGTGTCAACTATATTCAATCTTAAGCGAATCCCATTTTCTTCAATTACTATTTTAATAATCATTAAAAAAAATTAGTCTCAATCTCAAACACTAAAATAATTTAGATTAACAATACTGACAATGTGATACTGCTTGAATCTCTGTGGTTTGTCTAAAAGGTTCTTCAGCGCTAGTACGTCCTTTGCTATCGATTAAATGTGCAGCAAAAATAGTATTGATAAGAGTTGATTTACCGAGTCCAGTTTGTCCTGATAATATTTAAATACAAGATGAGCAGGAAAAAATAAATTCCCTTGTTGATAAAATAATAAATAAAATAACGAAAACAACAATAAAAAAACATCAAATTTACCAACTACAATAATGTTGAATTGGAAACCACGTTTAAGTAACTTCTTTTCAATTTGTCGAGTAATACTATCAAACCCTACATAGCCATTGAGGGTGACCTAAAAAATTATTATCATCATCGTTATCGCAATAGTTAATGTATTATTGAATGATAGATTACATTAAATTACATTATTGACATTCATTATAAACAGACGGAGTTGTATTATTATTTGACTTTTGTTTTTAAAAAATTTTAATGTACCTTTTGAGGCTCAGTAATAGTAGCCATATCGAGTATTATTTAATTATTATTTTTTTTATTTGGCACTATTTATTATTGGTAATATCTTACATGGGCATGCTGTAACAAAGTGATCATTGTGTCACACAGTATTACAGGGATCAAAATTTAATAATAATAACAATTTTTATAATTTCCGTTATTATTATTTTTATTTTTAAAGTGGTATATAGAATTACTCCTATATAATATAAAACTCATTTATATCAGGTCCACTATGTAACCAAAGAATCATATAGTACTGCGAGTATGCGATCTGAGTTACTTACTTACCAGGTAATTCTTATGTTTGGCACATGGCTGGTCTCACTTTACTTCCTGAATTACAGCCCATAATTATACCTATTGACACTAAGTCTAAATATCAACACACAGTCAGGACTTACTTTGAGCATGGCGGAAATTTGATTTTATTGGATATAAAATGGGAACAAGATTTATATGGGATGTGTAATGTTGGTCACAACGAACAAAAAATTTAATGTGTAATATAATATATACACAAGAATTTATTCCTATATTACCACACCACTACCACTGACATCTTATTCTTGTTCTATTACTATTGTTACTGCTACTGTTATTGCTAATTCTACTACTGCTTTTAATTTGCCATTATTATATTTGATGCCATATGTAGAGAAAGTTAAATCAAAGAAATTTGCATAAATGTTCTATTTATGAATTAATTATAAAGTGATAATATTTAATATTAGTATATCCGTGTTCATTCATCATATTATATTGTACTCAAATAATTAATTGCATATATGACTATTAATAAAACAAGTATTAATAGATATGTCAATATTCCATTCAATAAAAATTACATGCAGTCTTTCTTAAATGTGTAATATAAATGATAGCCTTTAATCATAATAGAGTAAAGAAATTACTTAACTGTAATTAAATTGTATATACAAATAATTTAATAATTCCATAAACCACCACTTTAGGTATTGACATATTAGAGATGCCACATGTTTAAACAACAATCTATGCTTGATTTTACATCTAATGGTAGAGTCTCATCTGTGATTGTATTGGGAAAAAGTTTTTTTTTAATAAAGCAAAATTACTACAGTCGGCGCTCGATATAGTGAAGTTTTGGCTAGTACAAATTTGGAAACTATCTGCGTTAATATCCAAACAAATTCAATTTTTCAGAAGATAGTTTCCAAATTTGTACTAGCCAAAACTTCACTATATCGAGCGCCGACTGTATTTAAATCCTTTGCTTCTAATAGAAATTAGTGAAAATTATTTCATTAGAGATGTCACAAGTAGAAACTATCCTTTTTTTTCATCTTACATATAATTACAAAGCTTATTTGAATATTATTATGTAAATAATTTTTTGTGTAATTGTAAAACTCATTTTTATTATATATACCGAAGTACTTTTAAAATGGGGCATACTGCAACAAAAATCAGACAAAGTAAACATCTGTATTACCAAAAATTTAGTTTGATTTTAGTGTTAGTTTATTTGCTTTTCTCATTATTCTTCTCCTTTAGTAATCCTGAAACTTTAATACTAAACTAACATATATAAATAAAGTTTTTTTTAAATAGTAGGCAGTTAATCTAATTAGGATTTCTACTACTAAGAGGAATGATAATGATGTGTGTAATATTAATAACAATATGAATTGCTGTGTTTTGATTCTGAGGTATAGTAATGTTAAGCTCATTGAGAGCAGAACTAAGTGTTAGGAACATCCTGCGACCCATCAATTGCATAAAAGCACAACTTCAGCCTTGCTGCTGCATAACAGATTATAAATTCAATGACACCAAAAACCAGAGGGTCAATTCAATTGAATTTCTCATCAAGGTCATAAAGAGCCATCTTAAAGTCCTTAGCACTGGCCTTCTCTTCACCTTTTAGTATCAATGTGTCTTTTAACCAGCAAAGGAAGTCTGACCAATAAGACCCTTTTGTTGTTGATCCTGGATCTGTTCTATTCCAATCATGGTCAATTGGAAGAGCTTTACCAAGGTTCTCTTTAAATAATTGAAGTGTATTACCGATCAACAAGTCTGTGGGCATGTGCAACATATCCTATGATTTGTTATCTGCATTGTATTGCCATTAAAGATGGCTCCTCCCTCAATTAGTTGCAATTAATTGTGGCACATAAAAATTGAATTGCAGTTGTGGTTGTGGCATATGAAAATCGAATTGCAGCTAATTGTGGTTCCCATCTTTAATCATCATGGGATGACATTACTTAACACATAGCTTATATGTGAAGCCAATTGACTTTCATGATCTTCTTCATTTGTATATATAAATTTTTGAAAATAATACTTATCCTCCTCATTAGCAGACATGGGTAATTTACAAGAAAGTGGTGCCTTTATAAGTGATGGAAAGTCTTCCATTTACTTTGGAATGATGCTAAATGGTTTCAGGAGGTTTGTACATATTGCAGCTGTTTGATCAGCACTCATCTTGGCAATTCTTTTTGGTGAGGTCATCAGGAAATTTTCCATGCCATAATATTACATCCATAAATTTTAATATGTTGTGAGATAGTAAATCTTGGACCTATCAATTACCTGGTTAATATTGACCAATTTACTATGGTGCAGATCATCTATAATCATTAATTGCCTATAGTAACAATTGGTCAACTTCAAAATACCAAAACAAAAAAAAATTATATCATTTTAAAAAATTTGACCGATAAGTTTTATTGTTCATGACTCAAGCTTCAAAACTTATCAGCTGGTTTTTTCTTAAACTGAAAATTGGCATTTTGAAAATTCCGAATTTTGTTATACATTTAAGAAATTGAAACTAAGTAAATTTCGTGTAACAAATTTTTTTTCATGGAATATTTTCTACAACATACATTTGATTTATTTGATTTATTTATTTCCTTTTTTTATTAATAAAT